TCCAGGGAGTGACAAGGGCTTCCTGAGCCCTGAGCCAGGGACAGGGGCCGAGACCAGCATATGTTTCCTATCAGCTCACATCCTGTGTCTGCAACTGCACGTGGGCACCCAACAGCCATGCTCCCCCACAGATTAATGTCATACGTGTGAACCCTGTGTCACTACTGACTCATCATGTCTGATATGTCAGTGTCCACCCTGGTCATGGACACAACCTTCTCCTTCTCTGATCAAACCCACAGAAGGTTGGTCACAACCAGCACAGACTCTCAGTGACACCCTCCCTCCCCCTCTTCCCTCCTCTGCTGCTGCCTCCCTCACCCCCTCCTCTCCCTCGGGCTCTTCAGGTTTCAACTCCATCCTCACGTGAGGGTTTCAGAGAAAAGTGACAAATTCCTCCTGTCATTGAAAAATTAAGAAATATTCAAGGTAAAACAGAAAAGAAGGAGATGTAACGTTGCCTGGAATAATTTGCTCTTTTAACTCCCTGTCCATCCTGAATGGAAGGTTTCTCAGGCAACAAAGAGCTCACTTCTCCAGCATCGTTTCACTTGCTTCGTATTTATTTACTGAATTATTTTCCTTAAGATATCAGTGTCTACAAAACACTGAATATATTAACATTAGTCACATTAGCCCCTGGCCGGTGTTGATCAGTGGATAGAGTGTCGGCCCGTGGACCAAATGTTCCTTGGTTAGATTCTGGTCAAGGGCAGGTACATCCGTTGCAGGCTCCTCCTTGGCCCAGATTCTGGTTGGCACCTGCAGGAGGAAACCAATCAATGTATTTCTCTCACCTCGATGTTTCTCTGTCTCTCCCTCTCCCTTCCACTCTCCGTAAACATCAATGGGAACATACCCTCGGGTGAGGATTAACAAACACACAGAAATCTGAGTCCCATTGGAAGTGGTGGCAGCTCTGGCTCCACAGGCTTTTAAATCCCTGTGATCAGCCAGCGTCCAGGGGAGAGGACAGGAAGTCAGAGCCATGGGACAGGCCAGAGCGTGACCGCGGCAGGAGGGGCAGGAGCCGAGGGGCCATCTGGGGGCTGAGGGAGGCCCCGTGCGGGAAGGTCAGGCACCGCCCAGCCCAGGACTGAGCTCTGTGCTCACAGAGGGACATGCGGGCCCAGAGGCTTCTGAGCAGAAGCTCCTGCCTCCACATCCCGACAGGGGCTGCCCAGCAGCGGCCTCTCCCAGGCTGCTCACAGGGGACAGCAGGACCAGCTGACGGCCTCTTCCAACCACAGATGGGAGCCCAGGGCCTTATTACTGCGCAGGGAGAGGGGCGGCCAGAAGGAAGTCGGGGCCAGACCTCCACAACCAGCCCTTTCCTAGGCAAGGCTGCCAGGGGGGCGCAGGGCTGCCCGAGTCCACTCTGGGCCCAGCTGTGTGCCCCTGGCCTGCACCCTCTCCTCCTCATGCTACCCTTTCAATCCCCAAGGGCTGACCTGCGCCCTGTGTCCCCCAGGGGCGCTGTGGTAGAAGCCCCTGCTGGCTGCTCTCCAGTAGCTCAGCTGTGCCCCCTCCCCGCCCAGCCCCCAGCCCCAGGCAGGTCTTCTGTGGGAATAAGGACCCATCTCAGGCTTTTCTCTCTGGTGGGACCAAGGCCAAGTGTGAAGGAGGAGCTGAGCAGCCTGCAGACAGGGGGAGATTTGCATGGAGCCTCCCCCTGGGGATCAGGGCTCATAAGAAGGTGAGGGCTCAGCCTGGCTGTGCGGCTCAGGGAGCAGAGTGTGGGGGCCTGTGCACCATGGATGGGGCTCCCCTTCTCCTCGCCCTCCTGGCTCACTGCACAGGTGCTGCCTGAGGGGGGTCTGGGGGGGCACCTGACTGTCACCCAGGAACATCCCCTCGCCTCCCTCCCTGGGCCAGGGGTCTGTGCTGTCCCCTCTGATGTCTGTGTCGCCCCCTCCTTGCAGGGTCCTGGGCGGAGGTTGTGTTTACTCAGCCCCCGTCTGTGTCGGGGTCTCCGGGACAGAAGGCCGTCATCTCCTGCACCCGCAGCAGCGGCAGCATTGGAAGCAACTATGTGCACTGGTACCAGCAGCGCCCGGGCAGGGCCCCCACCATGGTGATCTACCAAGATAACCAAAGACCCTCGGGGGTCCCAGATCGGTTCTCTGGCTCCATCGACAGCTCCTCCAATGCCGCCCACCTGACCATCTCGGGGCTGCAGCCCGAGGATGAGGCTGACTACTATGGTTATGGCAACTATTAGCACAGTGATTCAGGCCCCTGGGGAAGTGAGACAAAAACTCCCCAGAGCCTGCTGTCCTGGGCTGCACTCCTCCCACACCCACCAGGAGCGGGCTCTTTCCTGTCTCTGCTGCAATGCTAGAGTGAAATTTCATGAGTTCCTCTATTTTAGTTCCATAATGTGAACATGTCCTTCCATGTGTTGACGGACGGTCTCCTGCTGGCTTTGGGCTCACTTCACCGAGGCCAGTTAGTGAGAACCGGGTTTCTGAGCCCTCACTCCTGCGGGGGAAGCTGTCATGTGCTTGTGGAGCCTCTAGGAGCATCCTTTGTGCTCCCCCCCTCAGGAGCCAGTAGCGCCCTCTTCTCTAAGTCATGGCTGACACGTACCCCTGCAGACATATCCCAGTGTCCCCCGGGGCAGGGGAACCACCGGGTCTGGAACCGCCAAGTGAACAGGAAATGTGCTCAGGGACTCGGAGGCCGGTGGCTTTGACTCCTGTTCATGCCATTGAGCTGGACAAAGGGGACGAGGCGGGATCTCTCTGTTCCTCTGCCCTCCCATCTGTCAGACAAACAACCACATCAAACTCGCGTGAGGTCAGAGAACCCGGGACCCCACTACACGGACTCTCCTCTGACCAGAGTGTGGAGCACACTTTCTGTCCAGACCAGGTGTGCAGTTAATATGTTTAACCTTTATCAAAGCCCACGAACCTATAAGAGACCTCCCTTCATTGCTTCCCTCTGTGAGGGGTTGTTCAAACCTGGGATGCAAAGAGGAAGAAAACCATGACAAAGTTCTACACTCGCTCTGTTCCCATTGCAGACGGGTGTGAGGCCCAAAGAACAGCAGCACGGGTGAGTGCAGACCAACGTACCACCCCTTGAGCCTGGAACAGCCTGACTCCATCCCGTCTCCTTCTTCTATGCAGGACGGGGGCAAATTCCCACTCAGGGCAGGTTCTGTGGCTCATCCCACAGCCTGTGAACAGATAGAGTTGCTGCCCGGAAGCTTGCCTGCTCAGGGAATAGCACTTTGAAGGATGGGCTAAGGCAGTGGTTCTCAGCCTTCTGGCCCTTTAAATACAGGTCCTCATGTTGTGACCCAACCATAAAATTATTTTCGTTGCTACTTCATAACTGTAATTTGCTACTGTTATGAATCGTCATGTCAATATCTGATATGCAGGAGGGTCTTAGGCGACCTCTGTGAAAGGGTCGTTCGACCGCCAAAGGGGTCGCGACCCACAGGTTGAGAACCGCTGGGCTGAGGTGTGGCAATGAGGAGGCAGCATAGAGATGAGGAGTTGATTGGTTCCCCTTGCTGGGGTCGGGCTGGGGTCTCTGTGGACCAGGTGTGAGGAAGGCTGGTTCCTCTCTGGGCTCCTGGCCTCTCCTCTCTCACCTGGAGGAATCCCCGCCTGGGGCAGCAGGGGGCGCTGCAGGACAGGTCTGGAGAGGATCTGCTGGGTATTCTCTCAGCTGCAAACCCAGCCACCTGTTCCTAGTCTGGGTTCCTCTGCCAGGCGCCCCCTGTGGACCTCAGGGCGTCCCAGACCAGGTCGGTCTCAGCCGCCTCCCTTCACAGGACCCCAAATAGCCGATGCCATCGGGATAAACAAAGAACAAAGCCAGAGCTGTCATTCACAAATTACACTGACTTCAAATTACACCACACGGCGACGATCATCAGAACAACATGGTATTGACCAAAAGAGAAAAGAAAAGAAACAGACACACAGACCAAGGGAACAGAGCGGAGAGCCCAGAATAATAAATGCACATGTTTACGGGCAAATGCTTCTTGACAAAGGAGCGAAACACATACAACACGGAAAAGAAAGCCTCTCCCACCAATGGTGCTGGGAAAACGGGAAAGCCACAGGCCAGAGGATGAAGCCAGATTACCGCTGTCCTCATGTTCAAAGATGACCTCACACAGACCTAAAATAAAGCCCGAAACAATAAATTACATAGAACAAAACATAGATGCTAAGCTAATGGATCTCAGAGAAGATTTTATTAATTCAACCCATAGGCAGGAGAAGGAAAGGCAAAAATATTAGACTGGGCTACATCAAACTAAAAAGCTTCCGCACAGGAAGAGACACCCCCAAAAGAGCTGACTGCAGCTTTAAAAAACAAAACAACACCATCCATAGGTATATAACTGAGAAATGCTATAGGGTGCGTCTGAGAAAAATGAAGTGTTAAACATGGGAAGCTATAAAACATTGCAAGAGAAAGTAAAGAAAACTCGAATAAATAAACAGGTATTCCTAATTTGTGGATAGAAACACTGAATTTCGTTACAATATTGATTCTTCTTAAATGTATTGATCAAGAGCTGGTGCCCACCAGTTCCTGATACAAAAACATGAAAATAACAAGATATTATTCACAAATAAAGACATAAAATCTCTGAAGATACTATTAGAAAACAGAGTTCAGTAATACATAAGAAGAAGTATACACTGACAATGTATTAAAATCAAAGTACCTGGAAATCAAACCATGGCTGTGTGAATAGAGACAATGACCTGGAGCTGAAGGCTCCAGCTGGGCTCTCAGGGCTTTGGTCCATGAGGAGCTGTGCGTCCTGTGACCAGCAGGAGGCGCTGTGGGCCTTCCACCAGCTGCTCAATGAGGACCATTCACTAGCCTGGGCCTGGCAGTTGGGCCCTGAGCTCACTGATGGGGAATCAGCAGCTGTGTCTTCTGTTGCTTGAAAAAGTCAGCTGAGTGGGGACCTGTGTGTGTGGTCTCAGCAGGTGCTTCCTCCCAGGGCCCCCCAAGGGGTGAGCCCACCTCCATGCCCCTCAGTCTGGGGTGTGAGCTGAGCTCCAGCCCCAGGGCCCAGGGAGGGACTGGGCAGTCCCTGGAGGGACCCCCATTTGCATGGCAGCCCCTCCTCTGGCAGAGGGTGGGGGAGAAAAGGAGGCCTGGGCAGCCCAGCCCCACTGTGGGCTCAGGGCTGTGAGCACCATGGCCTGGACTCCTCTGCTCCTCGTGCTCCTCTCTCACTGCACAGGTAGGGACAGGCCTGGGACCAGGCTTCTTCCCTTCCTGCTCAGTCTCCTGGGAAACATCCCCTGGTCCCTGCCCATCACTGACAAGTGTCTGTGTCTGCAGGTTCCTTCTCCCAGTTTGCTGTTACTCAGCCACCCTCCCTCTCTGCATCTCCGGGAGCCACAGCCAGACTCACCTGCACCCTGAGTGGTACTACTTATCCTATTACTGATTACTGGATAAACTGGTACCAGCAGAAGCCAGGGAGCCGTCCCCGGTACCTCCTCTACTATAAATCAGACTCAGAAAAGGGCCAGGGCTCCGGGGTCCCCAGCCGCTTCTCTGGATCCAATGACGCCTCGGCCAAAGCGGGGATCCTGACCATCTCAGGGCTGCAGCCTGAGGATGAGGCCGAATATTACTGTGGTACACCCGTTGGCAGTGGGAGCAACTACCGTTACCCACAGTGTCCCATATGACAAGGAAGTGAGACCAAAACCCCTGGGCACAGAGGTGGTGCCTCTGAGCCTCCCTTCAGCGAGGAGTGACTGTTGTGGCCTCTGCTGGAGACGGTGTTGGATCCACAGTTAAAGGGCCAGTCCCACAAGGTGCAAATCACAGGTGAGGGGTCCAAAATATCACACAACCTCTTGGCGATACAGCAAAGGTTCCCAGGATCCCTCCCTTGTGTTCAGTGAATTTGCAAACTCCCCCTGAGCCCTCTCCCCTTCAAGCGAATGGGGGGCGGGTGTGAGGCTTCCAAGCTTCTAATCCTCCCCGGCCTCTCCAGTGGCCCGTCCTCACCCAGGAGCCCACCCAGCGTCCCCTCATCAGCAAAGGCCGCCCATCCCCCAGGGAGTGACAAGGGTTCAGGAGCCTGTGCCGGGGCCAGGGGCCGAGACCAGCCTATGTTTCCTATCAGCTCACATCCTGTGTCTGCAACTGCACATGGTCACCCAGACAGCCATGCTCCCCCACAGATTAATGTCATATGTGTGAACCCTGTGTCACTACTGACCCCTCATGTCTGATATGTTAGTGTCCACCCTGGTCATGGACACAACCTTCTCCTTCTCTGATCAAACCACAGAAGGTTGGTCACAACCAGCACAGACTCTCAGTGACACCCTCC